CTCTGCATGGGCAGGGACACCTTTGACTGTCCCAGGCTGCTCCAAGCCCTGCCAGCCTGGCCTTGGACACTTCCAGGGATGGGGAAACCACAGCTGCTCTGGGCACCCTGTGCCAGCCCCTCTTGGTCTGACATTTTTCCCCCATGTCCAACCTGACTCCACCTTCAGTCCAACACCATTGTCCTGTGCTGGGACAGAGCTGGAGGCAGCTCCAGGGTGACTCAGAGCAGAGGAGGAACATCCTCTCCTCTTGCCCTCACTGCTGAGGGTGAGCCCAGGAGACATTTGTCTTTCTGTGCTGCCAGTGCCTATGGCCAGGTCAAGCCCCATTTGTCACCCAGCAGAATCCCCTGATCCATCCTCCTTTCCTTTACTCCTTCCTGAGGATGCCCATCCTGTTGGGTGCACGGTGAGGTGGCAGGAGCTGCAGGATAGGTCCCCTCCATTTCTGTGGATGGTGTGGATGTCCTTGTCCCTGACAGGGAGAGGCTTAGGAGATGAGGGAGTAAAGATCCCCTGTCCTGTATATACACATCCAGGGTGTCACCATGGTTTTTAAAGATTTTCTAAGCCTTCTGATGTTGACGTTCTTGTAGCGAACTTTCTCACACGCTTTCTGTAAATAACTCATTGTTTTGCATTTCTTTATGGAAGAAGAGAAAGTTGATGGACTGTTGGTCTGTCCAGTGTCATTGGAGAGGTGGCACTGTCACCCTCCAATCCACTGTCACTCTTGGAAAACTATAAATGTTGGAGTCAGAAAATAAACTTCCCTTTTTTCTTCACCTTGAGAACAGCAGTGTGAGCTTGTGCTCTTTCGTGTCCTATAGCGACACCAGGGTGGTGTTTGCATTGGCAGGGGCATCTTCCATCACTCCCAGTGTGTGTCCCCAGGGTCTGTTGGCATTTTCCAGCATCCTGGGGGGTGTAGGTGGGGGTCTGTGTGTTATTGCCCATCCAGTGGGCTCTCAGTACCACCCACCAGAGCGTGTGATGCTTCAGAGCTGTTGATGCTTAAAATCAAGCACAGCACCAACCTGGCAGGAATGTGTGATGTGTAAGTGGAATGTGAACACGGGTGGTACTTGTGTGTCTGTAGCAAAGCTCTGTCCATGCTTTCCTAGCTTTAGGACATGGTTCTTTGTGACCTCCTCAATGGTGAGCCCTCCTGCCATGTGCTGGGGGAGTGCTTGGGATGCTCTGGGAGCAATGGAGCACATGTGGGCACTGCTCTGGAAGCAGTTATTGGCCCCAGGTGGAGCTGAGCTTACAGCCAGGCTTGGTGCTGGCTGAAGGGGTGGCACTGGGGCTGGGACAGTGACAGCTGTCACTGTGGTCAGATGGTTTGGAGCAAGGCTGGAGCAGTGGTGACACAGGCCAGGGGGAGGGACTGGGCTGCCTGGTGGCACTGGCATGCAGGAAGGATTTAAAATGTGACTGTGTTCAGAGGGGTCTCAGGTTGAGGGAAGAAACGAGAATGTTGACTCCATGTTTCAGAAGGCTTGATTTATTATTTTATGATATATATTACATTAAAACTATACTAAAAGAATAGAAGAAAGGATTTCATCAGAAGGCTGGCTAAGAATAGAGTAAGAAGGAATGATAACAAAGGCTTGTGGCTCAGACAGAGCCTCGGACACAGAGTCCCAGCCAGCTCACTGTGATTGCCCATTAATTACAAACATCCAAGATGGGCCAATCACAGATGCACCTGTTGCATTCCACAGCAGCAGATAACCATTGTTTACATTTTGTTCCTGAGGCCTCCCAGCTTCTCAGGAGGAAAAATCCAAAGGAAAGGATTTTTCATAAAAGATGTGGCCAAACCCTGCCCCTGGTTCCAGGGAGGTGTGGGAGGGTTGGATGTGCTCCTGTACCCAGCTCTGTCTAAGCCTGAGCTGTGCTCTGGCTCTCCATGCTGCACTGACACTGCTGAAGGGAATGGGAGAGGCTGTGTGCACCTGCTGGGAGCAAACTGCAGAATTTTGGAAACAAAAAGTTTCAGGGAAAAGCTGGCAGTGCGTGCTGCAGGGACTCTGCAGCCCCAGCCTGTCCCTGCACACAGTGGCACCAGGACAGTGACTCTCCCTGGGCTGAGCACTGTTGAGGCACCTCAAACCATGGGGCAGGAAGGTATTGAGGGGCTGGAGCATGTCCAGAGAAGGGGACAGAGCTGGGAAAGGGTCTGGAGCACCAGGAGGGGCTGAGGGAGCTGGGGCAGCTCAGCCTGGAGAAAAGGCAGCTCACCTCCTCCTTATCAGGGTGAGATTTTCACCAGAATTGGGGGAGCTCTCTGATCACAAAGGTAACTATGAATGGGATAACTGTGTGGGAGTGAGTTACCTGCTGTAGTAAAGTAGAAAAATCATAAAGAAAGGCTTCATAAAATCAAACCTTCCCTCCTAAAATCAGTGGCTGGCCTTGTCAGGCCCTTTGCAGGTTCCCATGTGAAAGCAATCCTGGTGTGAGCAGTTCATTAACATAACAATCTGTTCCTGGGTGAAAGACAACTTGTACCTGTATAAACTGTTTTTACACCTTAGATAGAAAAATGAAAAGTATCTCTCACAAACTTTCCCTGCATGTACACACTGAGAGTTTGAGTGGCCAATCAATACATGGCAACAACTTGTTACTGACCAATAATTAATTAACAAGAAAGCTTCTGACCAATTGGAGTCCCACACGAGGTCTGTAAATCTGCTTATAAAGGAGTTATGTGAATAAAGAATGTCCTTTTTCCACCATGAAGAAAATGGAGTCCATGTGATTTATTCCATTAGTTACCCAGGCAAAAGGTGCCACAAGTGGTGGCAAGGCTGAAAGCTGAGGTTTGCAGATGATTCCACCCAAGTCAGTCACTGTAGGGTGGAAAGACAATTTTAGGGGGTGGGATGGATATTTCATCTGGCTTATTTCAATGCAAGAGGGCTCTCTCTGGAGTCTGTAGTGGCTGTCTCTCTGCAGAGTGCAGAGGGGCCATGGGGTGATGTGTAACTGCAATCATCATGAGATGAGCAGAGGCAGTCCTGTCTTAAATCTCCATTCCACTGGCTTCTTCTCTCTTGTAAAGATGGAGTGAGAGGAAACTTTTCCATCCTGTTAATTTTCCATTTCCCTCCATCATGTAGCTGCTTTGGATGATAATCTTTTAAATGTCTCCTTATGTGCAGGACTGTAATTTTTCCTTCCCTTGAGAGCTTGCAGCCCCCGCCTTGCTGGGACAGGAGGTGTTTTCATCTCTGGTGACAATGACACACATGCTTCTGCAGACAAGGACAACCCCTCATTTGCCTGCTGTGACTTTACTAGTTCTGCTGTCTTATCTGTTTGCTCCCACCTTTCCTGCACTCTGCAGCACTCCTTTTATTTCCCCATCACAGCATCCCTTGTGTTTACCATCATGGCATCCCTTATGTTCTCCTGACATGGCATTCCTCATGTTTTTTCCCATTGCAGCATCTCTCACTTCCTAGTGCAGCTTTCCTCGTGTTTCCCACTGCAGCTTCCCTCCTGCTTTCTCCCGTGGCAGCATTCCTTGTGTTTCCTGTGACAGCATCCCTCATGTTTCCCATGACAGCATCCCTCGTGTTTTCCCATCATGGCATCGCCCAGGCTTTCTCCTGTGGCAGCATTCCTTGTGTTTCCCATGGCAGCATCCCTCGTGTTTTCCTATCACAGCATCCCTCTTGTTTTCCCAGTCCAGCATTCATTGTGCTTTCCCAGTCCAACATCCCTTGTGTTTCCCATGCCAGCATCCTTCGTGTTTTCCCATGGCAGCATTCCTTGTGTTTTCCCATCACAACATTCCTGGTGTTTTCCTATCACAGCATCCCTCTTTTTTTCCCATCACAGCATTCCTTGTGCTTTCCCAGTCCAACGTTCCTTGTGTTTCCCATGGCAGCATCCTTCGTGTTGTCCCATGGCAGCATTCCTTGTGTTTTCCCATCACAGCATCCCTTGTGCTTTCCCATGGCAGTATCCCTCATGTTTTCCCGTGGCAGCATCTCTTGTGTTTCCCATCACAGCATCCCTCTTGTTTTCTTATCACAGCATTCCTTGTGTTTTCCCAGTCCAGCATTCCTCGTGTTTCCTATCACAGCACCTCTCATGTTTTCCTAGTCCAACATTCCTTGTGTTTTCCCATGACAGCATTCCTTGCGTTTTCCCATGACAGCATTCCTCGTGCTTTCCCATCACAGCATTCCTTGTGTTTCCTGTGACAGCATCCCTCATGTTTTCCCAGTCCAGCATTCCTGTGTTTCCCAGGCCAACATTCCTTGTGTTTCCCATGGCAGCATCCCTGTTTTCCCATCACAGCATCCCTCATGTTTTCCCATCACAGCATTCCCTGTGCTTTCCCAGTCCAACATTCCCTGTGTTTCCCATCACAGCATTCCCTGGTTTCCCATCACAGCATCCCTTGTGTTTTCCCAGTCCAGCATTCCTTGTACTTTCCCAGTCCAACATTCCCTGTGTTTTCCATCACAGCCTCTCTCATGTTTCCCCATGGCAGTATTCCTTCTGTTTCCCATCACAGCATTCCCTGTGTTTCCCAGTCCAGCATCCCTCATGTTTCCCATCATTTCCCTGCCTCGTGCTTTCCCACCCCACCCTGGTATTTCCCATGGTGGAATCTGTGCTGTTTCCCACTCCTGCTCCTTGCAGAGCTGCTGTGCTGCTCACACAGGGTGCCCTGGGAGCTCCCCCTCCTTGGCTGTGGGATGTCCTTGGCTGTGTCCATGCTGTGCCATGGCTGCTGTGGTGTTTTGGCCATCCCTCCCTGCTGGATGTGTGTGCTCTCTGCTCTCCCAGAGTCCTGGGGCTTGGAGTGGCAGTGCCTGGGCTGTTCCCCACTCTGGCTGGTGTCTGCCCCAGCTCCTTGGAGCAGGTCAGCACAGGAGAAGGGGAAGGTTCCTCACAGGAGCTCTGAAATAGGGCTGTGAGCTCTGCAGGAAGCCCTGGTTGATGCCTCTCTCTCTGTGTTGTTGTTGCAGGCCAAGGACAGTGATGATGATGATGAAGTCACCGTCAGTGTGGACCGGGACCGTTTCATGGATGAGTTCTTTGAGCAGGTGAGAGCTTTGTTCCTCCAGGGTGGCTTTGAGGCTGCTTCAGACCTTTCTGCTGGCACCAGGGTGGGTTGTGGATGCTCCAGGCTCCCTGTGGCCACTGGGCATGGGGATGAAGGCCCTGGTGCTGCTCAGCTGATGCTCAGGGTTGTGCTGAGTGCTGAACATCAGGAACCTGAGGCTGTGCTGCCCTGTGGATGTTTCCCTGCTCCTCCAGAGCCCAGGCCATAGGAGCAGGGAAGCCTCACACCCAGCTCTCAGGCCTTTCCCCAGAGCACCTCTGCAGAGCAGAGCAGCAGTCTCTGCATGGATCATGGATTTAATTTTGTGCCTCCTGTTCCCAAACAAGAGGTTGTCTTCTGGCATGTGGGTGGCTGTAAGATCTGCTTGCTGATTTTTAGCACACCCTTAGCATGGCATGTGTGTGGGGGGTGTTAAAATGGATCTGTGCAGGCAATGGAGTGGGAACTGGGATAAATCTGATGTGCAGGTGGAGGAAGATGAGCAAAGGAGTGGTGTGAGCCCAAGGAGAAGGCTGAGTTAGAGGGTGAGCAGCTTGGCAGGTGGAGAACACAGGAGAGGTTTCCCCTCTTGGGCAATGCTGGGCGTCTTGCTGTAGCACAGGAGGGCAGGGAAAATGCCAGAATGGATCTTTGGGAAAATGTGGAATGGGGGGTGAGGATCAAACTGGGCATTTCTGGAGCTTTTTGTGGAGCAAGGAGCCATGGGAGACTGAGCCACTACCAGCCTGGCTTGTGCAGTCTCAGCAGTGCTCTGCCAGTGGCACAGAGTCTGGAGATCAATCTGCTGCTGATTTATATAAATCCCAGAAATTTCTCAGTGTATCACAAATGGGAAAATGCCAGAATGGATCTTTGGGAAAATGTGGCCTGCCTGGAATAGGGGGTGAGGATCAAATTGGGCATTTCTGGAGCCTTTCATGGAGCAAGAAGCCATGGGAAACTGAGCCACTACCAGCCTGGCTTGTGCAGTCTCAGCAATGGGAAAATGCCAGAATGGATCTTTGGGAAAATGTGGTCTCCCTGGAATGGAGGGTGAGGATCAAATTGGGCATTTCTGGAGCTTTTTTATGGAGCAAGGAACCATGGGGGACTGAGCCACTACCAGCCTGGCTTGTGCAGTCTCAGCAGTGCTCTGCCAGTGGCACAGAGTCTAAAAATCAATCTGCTGGCTGATTTATATAAATCCCAGAAGTTTCTCAGTGTATCACAAAGAATCCAGGACATACAGTCTGTATTACACTGCTGTGACTCAGAGCTGGCTGGTGGGATGGAGAAGGGCTGATTCCACTGTTCCAAACTGGAAAATATTTATCCAGGAGGATGTTTGCTGTGGTTCAGACGTGTCATGGCTGCTTTGGAATAGGGTATAATAATCCCTTCACTTTCCAAGAGTCCAGGTTCTGTCACAGACCACCTGTCTTGTCTCACTTCACAGGTGGAAGAAATTCGAGGCTTCATTGATAAAATCTCGGAGAATGTGGAAGAAGTGAAAAGGAAGCACAGTGCCATTCTGGCTTCCCCCAACCCTGACGAAAGTGAGTGAGCCCTGTGTGTCCTGTGTGTCCTGTGTGTCCTGGTGGGTGGCTGGGGCCAGGCACAGTCCCCTGGGTCTGCAGGTGGTGCTGAGGGAGGGCTTGGGCTGGCTTGGTGACTGACTGGTGGCTTTGAGACCTGGAGAGGTGGTGAGAGCCCAGTGAGGGGATTTCTGCAAGGCTGGGGCAGTGTGGAGGCTGGGAAGTGGCTGTTTCTGTGCTGGTTGTCTTGCCCTGGGCTGCCTGGGAAAGAGGAGTGGATCCTTATCCCAAGGAGTGGATAAAGCAGAACAGACCAAGTGTCACCTGCTTGGGCCCACAAATGTCACAGCTCCTTTTTGAGCCAGAGGTGGCATCTGGGACCTTGCGTCTCTGTCCTGGGGACAATTTATTGCTGGTCAAAGAGTCTATCCCTTCCAGACCTCTTACTTCACCAGCTTTTTCTTCCAGAGAAGAGGTTTGCTGCCAGGAGCTGGAGTTGGGGATTTCAGCACCCAAAGGGTGGCAGCATTTGGGTGTCTGGGGGATCTGGCAGAGTTAGAACTGTGCATGCTGTGGTCCCCAGAGGAGCTGGCTGTGGGGTGGTGGGGTCAGCAGAGGCTTTCCAGCTCCAGTGTCTGCAAAGCCCTTACTGTGGAATGGGTGGATCTGAGGGCTGAGCCCTGCAGGGTGTGTTGGAGCCTGCCCAGGCTCACCTGCTGAGCTCAGCAGCCCCAAGTTCCACCTTCAGGGTGTCACTGAGCCCAGGTGAGTCCCCTCTGCCCACACCATCATCATGCTGGTGTCACAGGAGTGTTGGATGCTGCAGGATGGCTCCAGGCCACTGGCACCCCTCATTTTGTCCAAGGTGTTGCTTCCATGGGCTGAGCACTGCTTGTGTAATTTATAGAGGCTGGAAAGGTGAGACCAGGTCTCTCTCTGCTCATTGACCCTCTTCCCATCCATTTCTCATTTGCCCTGTGCAATTCCATGCCTGCTTGTGGAGTTGTGCCTGGAGCTCCCAGGAGGGTGCCCACACACACATTGCCCTGCATCCATGTCAAATCAGTAGATTTTGTAATTACCTGAAAGGAATGGCTCTCCTAAATTATCTCAGGCTCCCCTCTCCTGGCAGCTTCTCCTCAGCTAAAATTTCCTTGGCCAAGGCTGGAATTGAGGGATTTTCTCAAGGGAGTTCCCATGTCTCAGGTTATCGCTCAATCACCCTCCAGGCCCTTGTGCTCTCACTGTGAGATGTTGCAGTGTTCCTGTCTGGGAGTGTTTAGAGAAAAGCTACTGTGCTCCTGGCTGCTGCACAGGCATGGGGTCCACTTGGGGCTGCAAAGGCCACTCATGGCCTAAAAGCATAAGAATATATTTAAAAGTCTGAGATCTGCAGGGAACAAGATGTGCTGACATTCCCATGACTTCCAGAAGCGTCCAGGACCTTGGAAGTGCTCCTGGTTTTGTTTTACAGCATTCCTTTGCCTTGGTATTGCAGAGAATTCAGTTTGCTCATCAAGAATTGTTTGGACAGGAAGAGAGGAGCCACACATTGATCTGAAAGCAGTGATTTGTGGCATTGTGGTGTGCTCAGGAGGTGTGGTAGGGCTCAGCAGTGGACAGAGTCAGAATCACAGAGTGCTTTGCGTTGGAAGGGACCTTCTAGGGTCATCCATAGGCAGGGACACCTTAAATCGACACCAGTGAACCACTTGCTCCAAGCCCTGTCCAATGTGCCCTTGAACACTTCCAGGGATGGGGCAGCCACAACTTCTCTGGGCAGCCTTTGCCAGCCCCTCCCCATCCTCACAGTCTGACATTCCTTCCCCATGTCCAATCTGACCCCACTGCCCCTTGTCCCAGCCCTTGGAACATTCTGGTGGCCACCTCTACTCTGCCAGGGCATTGTCTGTGCTGGCAGCCTCACCCCCACCCTCCTGTGCTCCTGAACCCACAGAGAACCTGCTCATTAATGCAGATTGGTAACCCAGGGCTGTGAATTTATTGAGATTAATTTGGAAATTCAGAAACACGTTCCCACGAGGCATGGCAGGGGGATGGAGCCAAAGGACACTAAAATGTAGGTTGTGAGAGGCTAATTCTGGGATGTGCTCACTGGGGTTTGCTGTTTAGCAGGGCAGGGAGTGACACCTGGGATGGACATCAGGGCAAGATGTTGCTCCCTGCAGGGATTTGGGATGCTGGAACAGCACCCTGCTTATTCTTAGTGATCTCCAAGTACTTTAGCATCATGTGGAACCTTCACTGCAAGATGAGGGGAAATGTTCCTGCAGGAAATAAGAGAATGTCACGGACTCCTCATCCTTGTCTGGAGGCACATGTGCTGTGCGGCTTGCTTTGGTGTGGGTGTAGCTTCTCCATCAGAGATACAAACTCCTTCAACACCACCAGCAGGTCCCTCCTGGAGCTGGAGGACTTTGGGGTGGGGCTTTAGATGGAGCTGAGCTGGGCTGGTGGTCTGGGAGATGTTTTGGCAGTGCTTGGGGTTGCTGTTGCAGGGATGGATGGAGAGGTGTGTGGTGGCTGCTGGTGAGTAGGTGCATTCTCAGGGTCAGTGATAGGAGAGAGGGACTCTGTGACAATGTTTACAGGGGTCTCAGGTTGAGGGAAGAGATGAGGATCTGACTCCATGTTTCAGAAGGCTTGATTTATTATTTTATGATAAATATTATTTAAAACTATACTAAAAGAATAGAAGAAAGGATTTCCTCAGAAGGCTAGCTAAGAATAGAATAGCAAAGAATAATAACAAAAGCTTCTGTGATTGGCCATTAATTAGAAACAACCACAAGACCAATCCCAGATGCACCTGTTGCATTCCACAGCAGCAGATAATCATTGTTTACAGTTTGTTCCTGAGGCCTCACAGCTTCTCAGGAGGAAAAATCCTAAGGAAAGGATTTTCCATAAAAGATATCTGCAACAGGACTCCATGGGCACAATCCTACTGGAATCTGCTTTTTAGGTGGCTGTGCTCAGGCAGATGCAGCCCCTTGGTGTTCTTTGTTTGCAGGATCGGGTGAGGTCCAGTGTCTGTGTGAGACCTGGATTTGCCTGGCATGCGGAGGTGCAGGATCCGTGGAGGGGCTCATCCCTCCCTTGTGCTGATCCCTCTCCGGGCTGCACAGACTGCTTTTGGATCTGCCTTGCCCCTGCTGCCAGGGTTTATTTTGGAGCCCAGTGGGTGGGAGCTGGCTGGCTGTGCCATGAGGCAGGGAGGTGACAGCCCGTGGCTCCAGCAGGTTCACTCTGGCTGAGGGGCACTGGAGGGTCCCCACACAGTGGGCAGGGTCTTGGTGGGACTGGGTGGGCTTGGAAACCTGAGGGGCTGTGCTCCTCCTTGGATTGGGGCCATCACACCAGGTTTAAGTCACAGCTCCTGGTAAACCCATTCCTAAAATCCTTCCCAGTGAGTGCTGGTGCTGTTGCTGCTCCTGGCATTGCCATCAGCTGCTCCTGCTTGGGCCTTGGTGCAGGCCACATCCCAGAGGAGGTGGCCAATGCCACAAATCACTGCTTTCAGATCAATGTGTGGCTCCTCTCTTCCTGTCCAAACAATTCTTGATGAGCAAACTGAATTCTCTGCAATACCAAGGCAAAGGAATGCTGTAAAACCAAACCAGGAGCACTTCCAAGGTCCTGGACGCTTCTGGAAGTCATGGGAATGTCAGCACATTTGTTCCCTGCAGATCTCAGACTTTTAAATAGATGATTGTGCTTTTAGGCCATGAGTGGCCTTTGCAGCCCCAAGTGGACCCCATGCCTGTGCAGCAGCCAGGAGCAGAGCAGCAGGGGCACTGCAACATCTCACAAGCCATCTCACAGCCAGCAAGCAATGAAATCACATTTACTGTTTCCCTGGAGTGGTCAGGAGGGGTTGGTTCTGTGCCATTCCTGTTCTCTGAGCACGGCGTCCCTCCAGTGGCAGTGCTCCTGTGTCTCCAGCACTGGGTTACGTAACACAGCTGTCTGCTCCATGAAGTGCCTCTGGGAACTGAAATCTTCAGATCCCAACTTGTGTCTCTCAGCCTGTCAGCTCAGCCTATCTCTGCAGGCTTTGGGAGGCCCAGAAAATATTTCAGACCTGGGTGCAGGTCCATTCCAGCACAGAAGGGGAGGTTCACTTCCATGGGGGCTTGACTTCCAGCTTCATCACTTCATCTGTGCAGGCTCAGGGTGGTGGTGTGTGACACCAGGGCACAGGTGACTTTGTTCAGCCTTTCTGGCTGCTGGGAGCTCCTTGGAGAGTGGCCCCTGTTATTCCTAGCAGACCATTTTCTGGTGGAGAGATGTGTCAGGTAGGCAAGGAGACAAGCTGTAGCTGCTCACTTCTGTCTGATGCTGTTGAGGTGTAGTGGTGTTCACAGGGGTCTGAGGATGAGGGAAGAGGTGAGGATCTGACTCCATGTTTCAGAAGGCTGATTTATTATTTTATGATATATATTATATTAAAACTATACTAAAAGACTAGAAGAAAGTATTTCATCAGAAGGCTAGGTAAGAATAGAAAAAGAATGATAACAAAGGCTCTGTCTGAGCCAGCTGATTGTGATTGGCCATTAATTAGAAACAACCACATGAGATGCCCCACTCTGTGCTGTCACTGGGGATTGCCCTGACCCAGATGCAGGACTTTGCCCTTGGCCTGGTTGGCTGTCAGGTTGTGGAGTGGCTTTGATGGACATTAAATTGTGAGGCCCAGGGAAGCTGGATGCTTCTGGTTGCTTCCCAGCTGCAGTGGGACTGAGGACACAGCAGTGCCCTGGTGATGTCCTGGTCCTCAGCAGGGTGGGCAGGGCATGGTGTGGCAGCAGAGCACAGCAGAGCAGCCACCCAAGGGGACAGTGAGGGCAGGTGCCACCTGCCCTGTGTCTGTCAGCATCTCTGTGTCCTGCTTCCCCTCTCCAGGCAGTCCCAAGGGAGTGTTCTCAGCAGTCCTGGTGTGTGATGTAGAGACTGGAGGGGTGTTTGCTGCAGGGATGGGGGTTCCTCTGCCCTCT